AAAATTGAGGTTAATTAAAAAAAAAATAAGACAGAGAGCTACCCAAGTCCTGTCCATTGATGCCTACACAAGCCATTTGTGCTCCTTCCTGCATGTCTTCTTGTGGATTTACCTGTACAAGCAGGTCCTCAGCCTGCACATTTCTCCACTAACCTCAGCTGGCCACATCTGAAAACACATCTGTGTACATACAGGGCGCACAGCTGAGTCTGAGCTGGGACACCAGCTGGGAGGGAACGCTTTATGGCTTGAAGATGAGTTGGCTCAGGCCAATCAGGTCTGAGCAGTGAAGCTATGTGGAAGAGTAAATACTCATTTTCTGAGGATGTATACTGATAACATTGTTTAGGATCAGTTAAAAAAATCATTCCCACTTCTTTCAAACCTTAGGAAATAGCTTGTGGACCAATACACGGAACCACCACCTAGCTAAGTGGAAAACTGCAGAAGTTTATTCCTACTTCTTTAGAAATCTTTCCGTTTTAATTAAAATTTTTCTTTAAATTTTTCTCAGTGTTTAAAGAGAAGTACAGCTCCATTCTTCCTCTTCTTTTTGGTAGGTAACAAGGTCTCCATGATAAAAGAGACATGGCTGGACCTTCAGCAGCCCATGAGAGCCACGATATCCAGTGCTGCAGGTGAGAGCTCCTAGGGTGTATGTTTAAGTCATTTTTCTTACAAAAAGAAAACCATATGGGCTGGCTCTTTGCATCCCCAGGGAGCCCGTTCAAGTCAGCCAGAATCTCGCAATTATTTGTTGAAGAAGAGGTACTTCAAAATGCTGTTACCAGTTTCCCAAATCTCAACTTGCGTGGTGCAGGAGACTCTCACTTGGTTCACTCCAAATCCAAGGAAGGACCTCAGCTGCATCCACAGCAGAGAAAAGATTGGAGCAAGAAGAGACATTTATCATCTCAGTCCCTACAGAGTGGAGCAAAATTTGTTTTCTCAGTAATCCGTGGTTATGCCAGCCTTTCCAGACACACGGTAAAACACGTCCCCCCATTGTCTGCATGGACAACAGCTGAGACTGTGTAACTTGGCAAAGCCCCACGCACTTACGCTCACCACAAAGTTATCTCAGCCATATATCAAAAGTTAGGGGAAGTTGTAAGACGAAACTTTCCTAACTCAAAGGCAGCCCTGCTTTTTGCTGTCCAGTGTCTTCCACAAGGCAATATGATGCAAGAGCCTCCCCATATTGGTGGGGAGCACAGGGATATCACACGCACTTCTAACAACTCATCAGATGAAGAAAACAGAATATATTGGGACTTGGTGTTCACTGGAGGCAGGAGTTAAGACATTAACTTTGTAATTCAACATGGAAGAAGACAGCAGACATGAAAAACAGCCTGGCAAGAAGGCGCCGCCGCATTACACGCTGAGAGCTGGCAAGGGGGACCCCGACTGTGGTCAGCTCATGGGGAACGGATGCCAGATTCGGCAGCTTGCCACCGCATTGATGCTCACAACAAACACTGAGGCTACGTTCGAGCGGCTGCCAGATCTGCTGGCTCTCACAGCCTCCACACTGTGGCTGACAGGCAGAGGGAAGGGAGGCTTCTCGACTCACCTATGGACCGATCCCTAATACTTAAAAACCACGTGCCACTTCATAGCACCTCTTTCTTGACACCCGAGCAGTAATCCTTGGCATCTACATGCCAAGTTTCAGCTACTGAGCTCAAAGGAGAGCAAGTGTGTTATCCCTGTTTTAGTCACAGCCAAACACCTTGTCCAAAGTTGCACGCCATGGGGACAAACCAGGTCCCGAATCCTCTTCCTCCTCCTGTGCAGCCACCAGGCAATGCAGCATCTCCACACCTTGCCCTGGCAGACTCTGATCTCTTTCACGAGGCGTTTGCTCTGTACCTGACACGGTGAGGCTCCCGATGTCCAACTGAGCTCCAGGCATGGGACCAGCAGCACCAACAGGTTCTCAGAAAAACACAAGAAAACCTCAGCCGCATTTAGCTAAATTGTGAACAGATCTCAGATGAACGCAAGAGAATTACTAACTATGTCTTGGAACTAAAGTTTGCACCTTCCTCTCTATCTCTTAAAATACTACTACTACTAAAACACATTGTAAGCAAAAATCAGGCACAAGATAGCGCAGCATTGATACTCTACATGAAAAAAGATACAAGCACCCATTAACAATGAAGATGAACAAGAAAAAGAGTTCCCCTTTAAGTCTCTTTCTCTAGCAGGGCCTGAGCACTGCTGGAAATATTACACGCTATTTCAAGTTTTATATAATCTGCAGTGCAGCCATTTCTGACTGTAGCTACCTGTCTCCCAGAGCATAAGAAGGATATCCACAGCATAAGAAAAATATATTACTCTCAGCTTTGCACTTCTTGAATGATGACTAGCTGTGTCTCCTCTTCCTTGGGTTACCTCCTTCAGTGACAGTACATCTCCTTTCTAAAGGTGAATACATCACTTGTGCATGTTAGGATAACAGCTTCTCTCTTTCCTTCCCCCCAGCACAGTGTGGACCCCAGCCCTGCTGCCCTCACAGCAACGGGGGCCTTTTTTTTTAATCCTTTAATTTACTTTTTTTTTGCCAGCTGCTCAACTGAACAAAAATCCACAAAAACACCACAAAAACCCATTCTTTTCAGCCACCGCATTGGCAAGACTGAAGGTTTAAGCAAGGAGTCGCTTCAGCTCCAGTCTTCCTCTAAAGCAGGCAGCAGATTGGGAGACGTACAGCCTCGTGTTATTTCGGTCTCCCTGGTGCACTGCACTTCAGTCCTAACTCCCTAGCCCACCCCCAGCCCTCTCCTTGCCCAAGAGCTCGCCAGGGCCCACACGTTAGCAATGCGCTCGCCTCGAACATTGCTGGTGCGGGGAGAGCGGAGCGGGAGGTGGAGTCAGCCGTTTCCACGACAGATTCGCCGTGTCCCTCACAGCTCTGCAAAACTGAACTCCCCTGGACGGGTTTCAAGCTCTGACTCACGTCCAGCTCTTCTATTTTAATCGTTCCCTCTTACATCATCCTCGGAGGCCCACGGTGTCACATGCAACCTCCCCCAGCCCCTGCTCCTCCACTGCCGAGCGCTCAATCTGCTGCCATCTCATCCCTAACAGAGCCAGGTAGAGAAATGTGTTTGATATCAACTCCTTCCCTATGCAACAGAGCATTTACCAGCTTTAGTGACAACTAGTAAGGGCTTTCAAGAGCTCTCCATCGCAGTGACAACACTGAAATAGCAGAGGAACAGTAGCCATGCCAGCAAACCCAGCAGCAAAGGGATGTGAGACCAGAAAAACCACAGCAGGGTCAGTAACACTGCAGCCCAGCTGGGAGATGGCACCGACTGGGAGATAAGTGTTGGGAAGGGAACCAGCTGGTTCCTACTTTCCGTTCTCCCAGCGACTTCCTGAATAACTCTGCATGTCACTGAGTCTTTCTGTTCGCACTTGGAAGTACAAATCATCAGCATCGGTTCATTCAAGATTTCTTATTAAACCTGATATCACAAAATGGGGAGGGAGCCAAAGCTCTCTCAAAGAGCCGAGCAGAACAAAGGTGCTCGCGCGCAGGCGTTTAATCCCGTCCGAAATGCCTCCACGGCTGAGAGATTCCCCGCTGATCTCGGGGGAGCCCCTTGTTTGTAACAGTGACCGCCAGACAAAAACCCTTGCCTGGAAGGTTACAAGCGCCAGCCAAGCAACAGCTGGAAGGCTCACAACAGCTGGAAGGCTTTGAGCCTCCCGCATGCTCTGTGCAGGAACAAGGCAGCGAGCAGAAAGCCTGTACCTAACGACAGTTGCTTTGTTTGTTTTACTCTGGTCAATGACTCATCCTTGCGTCGACCGGCTCGCTGCAGTTATGCATCACAGAGGGTTCTGGTGCAACCAGCGGCTCACAAAACCCTAAGATCTGGTACAGATTTCCACTACTTTCCCCCTGGAAAATCTGCTGACTTCCCAGGGAGAGAGGAGCAGCCAGCCCGGATGAATGTGGCACTGTCGGGATGCTCGCGTGGCTTTTGCTGTGGGAACACCAGCGAGCCGTAGGCGTGGGACTCCCGGAAAGCGCGCGTTTGCATGCGAGGGTGACAAAGGGAAAATGCTGGATTTTTCCGTGTGTGGGTGAGTGGAGATTTTACAAGGAGCTTGTGAGTGCAATGAGTGCAGGACATTGGGAGAAACTCAGAAATCATGAAAGACAAGGTGCAAAGGCAATGAGATACACCAGAGCACCAACATGCCCGATCCCTCCGCTGACCCCTGGAGCAAAAACCGTGATACATTTTGGCAAAGGAAGCATGCAGAATTGCTTGGAAGAAGGCTGATGTGGGAAAGGCTTCCCCTTCTGTCTTTTCCCTGTGTCCTCTGCTCATTTCAGTACTTTTCCCACCTGCTTTTATTTTGTCTTTTGCTACAGTCAGCACAAATCCTTTCTTCTACGCAGCTCTCACAGTTTCCACCTTGTATCCAGTCCTACCTGCAAACATCTCTTTCTCCTGGCCAAGCTTCCAAATCTGCCTGGTCTCCTTGCTCCTCAAACACATCTTCACCTGATCTGCTTTAACTCTGTACCACCACCGAGGACAAAAAGGTTTCTATACACACAAACCAGGATGGTACAAGGGCTGGAGAGAATGACAGCAAAAAAGAGAGAGGCAATGGGACTGGAGGGAACACAGCACAGCGAATGTAACAGAGCAAGCACAGACACCCTGGATGCTGCAATTATGGTGGGGAATTAAAAAGTGCATTTGGGGAAGAGGCTGACCAGAGGAGAAGACATTGCAGAAGAGAAACTGAGAAGTGTAAGATCCAAAGAAGCATGGAGACAGTGTGAAAAAGAACAAAAATGCCTGTGAAGTGGGCAGAGCATGAAAGAAAGGAAGAGAACAATTTTTGTATCTTCAGTTTTCTTCCTGCTTGAGAAGAGAAACAAGGAAAGGGCTGTTTGATCTCCCCATTTAGTTCCCATCAAAAAGATATGAAGGGACCCAGCCAAAAGCCAGATGGTTTGTTTCCAGTTTCATTCAACAAGGTCTGCATAATAGACGAGGAAAAACTTTACCGGCCTACCCATCTTGCCCCTCTTCCCAGGAACTCCAGGGATCCCCTGCAAGGAAAACACACAGAGAAAAAGAAAATAATAGGTCTGGTTGAGAAAGCAAACAGCCAACCAACAATACAAAACAAAACTAGAGGAGAAAGGGGAATGCAAAACAGGCTAATGACTGCCGCATTGTTCAGGAATCAAAATGTCAGCTACTTGCAGTCAGCTGCGAAAGCGGAAGACAATTAACCTTCACCCGCTAACTAACTACGGCCCTCCCCGAGGACACACGCGCGCAGGCAGCATCCACACCCAGGGCAACCGGCGAGGCTGCGCTTAGCAGGAGCAGTCATTAAGCTACTGGTCTGGAACCGAATGAAGGCCACCGCCAAGGCAGTCGCCGGAGAACGCGTGTTTATGTTTCTTATTTAGTTATACAAGCATTAAATCAGTGACTCTAGAGCGCAGGGTAGTCCCCTCCCAGGCAGGCACACACACACACACACTCACTCCCACGCGCTCCCGGGGCCTCTCTTGTTTCTGGAGCTTGAGGGAGAAAAAGCTGGAATAAAACAGTCTTCATCTTACAGCGACTTTCCTTAGGAGCTCTTGCAACGGGAAAAGGGGGTCCTTGGATGGGGAGAAATCAGGCAGGTGTGGGGACGTGGAGAGAGGAGCAAAAAAGCAAGGGAGGTCATGCAAAGCTCTGAACATGTGGGTTTGGGGAAGGCACAATGAAAAGGATGGAGGGAAGGGAGGACACATGTGGACAGCAGTCACAGCTGCCCATCCACAGGCCCCAGTCCTGACTGCCCAACTGGATGCAACTGGAAGGAAAGCCATCGTCAGAAAGCCCCAGGCAATGCCGCTTCCAAGAGCCAGGCTCCTTCCAGACACCTCCAGTTGGACACCCAAAATACTGGGACACTATGGCTGGGATGTCACTCCTGTGGGAGCAGGGAATTTTCACTGACATTCTGGCCCCCCACCCCATCCCACTAAGACGAAGTGGTAAGGGGGGAAGGAAGGCAGGTTTTGAGTGAAAGAAAATGTAGAAAAACTCCTCTCTACTCCACAGTGAGGTCTGATTGCCCTGTCTGAACCCTAGGTTTTCCTGAGCTGAATGTCAGCATCATACAGGGACATGGCTCTTCATGCAAGGATAGAAACAGGCTAAAGAAGGCACGGTTAAACATTAAGCATGCTCGCCTCTTTCCTCAGGAACAAGGGATAGAGACAGTTACAACAGGCTCTGAAGAACTGTATTCAAGCAACACACCAAAACCACACCAATATGCTTCACAAAATACTCACTCGTTCTCCATCAGCCCCTGGTAGCCCAAATAATCCTGGAAGACCAATATAGCCCTAAAGAAAAGAGGAAACAAGTAGTCAGATAAATTTCTCCATTAGCAGGCTGTCAGTTTGTCTTTCCTGACCAGCAGAGCATCATCCAGCGTTGGTCAATGGCAGCCGTGATGAAATAAACCTTGAGGCAAGTGTATATGCCCATGGACTGCATGGTGCTGGCTTCCACGATGTAGTCCAAGGGCACATACCCTCACACCAGGGATCATGAGGACTCCAGGCAGGAAGAGGCCAGCAAGAAGAAACCTTACCTGGGCTGGCTCTGAGCGTACCTGAGGGAAACGGAGCTTGGTTCAAGGTTAGCAAGAGTGACAGCAAAAGCAATCCATGTGCCTACACCTCCTTCCTCTCTCCAAGGGCTCTTCCCTGCCTCTGGCACTCGTGCCCCCCTGTGTTGTGAAGACTCCCTGCTGTACCCAGCCCTCTCTGCTGCTGTCACACAGTGCTCGCACACTGCGGCTCCTTCTCATGCAAACACCACCTTCTCTCGGCCTGCAAAGCTGCTGACCATCCCATTGCTGAGAGCGGAGCAAATCAGTGCTTCTGCCTAAAGCCTTTCCCTGCAAACTCTGCTGCTCCACCAAGACCTTTTGCAAATGCTTTGGCAACCCAAGCACCAGGGGCCCTGCCCAGGCAGGGAGAGGCTGAATGTGCCATTTCAGGCTCTTAGGATTGGTGTATGAGGCTCAACTTGTGCACAAGTACAGATCCTCTGACACTCCACTGTAAAGGAAGCTCCTTTGCATCGTGTTTCACGTAAAATCCGCTCCTTTCCCGCTCACCAGCAGTCATCGCATTTTCAAGTACGCGACATTTCTCTACGGCCTTGGGATCCTGCTCAGACAGGACACAAACGCTGCAATTCCCTGCCCTTGCAACAATTGAAGCCTTGTGTTTAATCCTGTCTGCTCAGCAGTTTGTACAAAGTTACCTTGTGTGCTGGTCCTTTGCAAAGGACTAATTTGTGCCAAACATGCAGAATCAAGAGGAAGTGGATTTCAGCAGGGAGCCCCCTCAGTGGCACCTCACTGTTACAAGAGCCAAGTGTTAACACCGATTTTCTCTCATCTTTCTTTCTCCATCATCACTAAATCTCTTACTGTCGACCCTACCAAGTTTTTTCACCAGTCCACCGCTCCCTTTAGGGATGATACCTAGCTGGGAAATACGGCCAGGTTAAAACGATATGGTCTGCCTTTGCCTCCTGAACCCCACGACAAACTATGTAACTCCTGAACTACCTCCTGCAGAAGAAAACATAGAGGTGGGGGGTGGAGAAGAGTCCACAGCTGGGCTCCTTCAATCCACAAAATGCATAGGTCTCACCTTGGGACCCAATTCTGCAACTGAACTGAGAAATGGCTTTCTTGGGTAGCTATAAATATTTCAGTCCTCAGCACTCAGGGGTGCAAAGTGGAAAATAATTTCCAAGCCTTACGTTCTGCACATCTACCACATGATAATTACACAAGGTCCTGGGCAGGCCAGTGAAACAGATACACCAGGGACAACTTCACCGCTTGCAGAAGCGAGTTGAGCAGCCTGTGCTATCTCAGATCTTCCTCTCTCCTGCAGGACACTGAGCGTGCCCAGCTCAGGAATACAGCTCGCTACGGGGTCGGCGTTTGTTTATTCCTTCCCATTTTCCTAGTGATGAAAGCCAGCTGGTTGAATGTACTGCATTTAGAGAGTATCACATGGTAGAGAACGGGGGGATTTTATTGGCTCGGAAACTCATTGTGAATTTATAATTGCAGGAAGAGAACAAAATGTGATTAGTGAGAGCCTTAATTGGTAAAAAAATAAAAATAATCCTTTGCAGTGAGAATGAAGCCTCGGCAATTCAATTTGTGAGCAAAACCAGGCAGAACAGAGATATTAATGTTTGTATTTGCACATAGCTTCAAGATGCTGGCTTGCTGTTCTGCGTAATGATCTAAATCACTCCCAAACCTAGGACTATACCCAAAAGAGCCCATATTCAGCATGGCTGAAGACCACTGAACCACACTTAGTGAAACTAAAGAGGCCTTTGGGAGATGAGGCTTGCAGACAGTTCAGACTTTGGTCTTTGGTAGGAATTTCTATGCCATTCTTTCCTCTCCCGCAATGCGAGCTCTGAAGGGGTTGACTTTGTATCATCAACACTATCGGTGAACTTTGATCTCGGTACATTCCGTGTTTCATTTTAAAAAATTTAGCAGTGCTTCAGTAAACAAGCAGCGCACAGTTCAAATCCCCTGAATCCAACAAATTAAAGCAACAAATTTCAGGACCGCAAAATTAGGCACAAAGTTTCTTGAGAATCCTTTGATAAAAACAAGTAAAGACAAATGAAAGGCCGCTTACCCGGCTGCCTTTTGGACCAGCTTCCCCTATGGGGCCAGGTAAACCCTAGAACAAAAGGGAAAAAACAAAGACAAATGTGGACAGGCTTTAACTTAACCTAATGAGCAGTGCCAAACCCCCAGCACCATCCCTGCATGGTTCTGCTTTCAGTGCCGAGTCCAAGGCGTATCAACAAAGGAGAAAAAAGGGCAAACCGATACAAATAACAAATCTTCCATTGTCGGGGAGCCTGGGACTCTGCAGAACCTGAGACTGCGGCACACAGTGAGCCTTCCCTGGGGCCGAAGTAGAGATTTCTGCTCATAAAGACCAAAAGGCTACGGCAGCAGGGAGCACAGAGGCTGCGTTACACTTCGGATGCGATGCACAGTGATGCTCTGTACCCAGCAGCTCCCGATTCATTTTCCTGCCTAACTGAGCACATGCATAGCAAATGACAAATGTATTTCAATACCTGTTTAGGGAATACAGGCTGGCCCTGATATAGTGAGAAAGCCCCTCTGATTTCTACAGCCTACAGAGTCACTTAGCAGTGCAGGTACTGCCTCTCTCATCCTCTGCAGCATCAACAGCAATGGAAAAAATTGAAAATACATTCCCTGTTCTGCTTCTATGCTTATTGCTGCTCAGTTAAAGTACTGTAAAAAAGAACCCCGTAAAAATGTGTAACGAATTTGCATGTTTATTGTCACCTAGGAAGTTTCCAGATGAATTTTTTAGTTGCAAATGTTGCTGGGCTTTTTGGAAGGGGGAGAAAAAAAAAGGCTCAGTCCATCTTTTCTTCAGCTGGCAGCACTGCACACAGTGGCTGGAATCTGAAAGTCAGGTTGTGCTCTTCCCTGGCTCTTGCATCGTTGCCAAAGGTTTCAGCCATCGGGGTGAAGTTAACAGTCCTGCCTGTGATGAACAACTCAAACCAGAGCCAGCACAGCTGACAGGAGTAACCAGTAGTAAAATTTCAGTAAACAGCTCTGATGCTGGACACACACAGCATTCAGATATGCTGAAAAAAAGCTGCCTTAATTAAAAAAAAGTCACTTTTCTGACCCATGCCGTGTTTTAAGAAAGCACTTTTGTTCTCTGGATGTCAAGTGCGAGGATTTCACCCTGCTTATCTGATGGGCAGAGCACTGCTGTGAACTGCTAACCAGCATTCATTAACCTTGTATGACCAACAGAGCTCCGACCGCTTCATATTGGCCATCTAACACATGCTCACACCTGAGAGACGCTTTGGCACGCACATCTCTGAGAGGCTTTCAGAGTATGAACGGGGCATTTAGTCAGGTGAATAAAACTCTCATCCAGCTCTACCATCTGCACTCTCCGGTGAACATCTGTATATTCCACTGAAAATTTGCTAAGCGAGGTGTCAATTTATTTTCAAATTTAAAACAGTCTGGGGCAGGGGATGCAGACTTGATCTGCACATTTAATACACATTTAGTCCAATAACCTGCACATCTGCGTAAAAACTCACATATGAGCTCACAACAAGTCTGAAATGCTCACGGCAGATTGCTGGGGGTCTTTGACATCTGCCCAGACTCTTAGCCAAGTACTTCAGTATAAATGTGGTGGAAACCAACATTAATGTGTCCATTTTAGAAAACCATGACAAACTCACTTCACTGTAAAATGTTACAGAGCCAGGTCTTCTGCCCTCCAACAGATTAATTTAGGGTCTTACAAACTCTTACTCTTAATTTTCTACCTACTACTCAGCATCTCACATCAGTAAGACAATAAAGTGGCCAATCTTGATCCATTTTCCCTTGCTCACTCTATTTCTAAAGTTGTCTTTGCGCAATTTTTTCAGAATGAAAACAAAGACTTGGTTTTCTTTCATCATCTTTCATCTGCAAACATGATTTCAACACATGTTTAAGGTCCATGCATAATTTTATATGTGTATATATATGATTAAACTTGTGAATTGTACTAATGAGAGTTCATCTAAACCTTTTCCTTTAGTAATACACCTTCTCCAGTCCTAGATTTCTAATGTGTTCAACAACAGATGTCAAATGTGCCCAGAAGTGAAGGGTTGGCAGCTTGCAGGTATGTTTCTCTGCTGTTGTTTTGGGTTTTTTCCCTGTTGTTACACTGAAGGAAAAATTTGTCAGATTTTTGTTGTAGAAATTCAGGTTCTATCCAACATAGGCACAAAATACTTTCTAACACCTTTACATCCCCCAGAATTGAAAGGACTCATGGATACAGCATCTTGGGAAAAGAAGGAGGAAAATATTCATACATATTCTAGGGGTTTGCACTGTCTTTAGTGGGGCACGTATGTAGCAGGGCATATATTTAGCTACCTGCACACCCCAATCCCTAGTCTGTGCACAGCACGATGAGATTTACTGCACCTGCCTGCCAGGATAACCTTTGGCACCGGGGCTTCCGTCTGGTCCTCGCTCGCCCTTTGGAAAGAAAAGAGAAGGCACAGAAGGTGACCGTCACACTTAGGAAACGTTTGTAGCTGCTGCATGCTTTGAGCTGGGGAGAGAGGAGGGTGGAATGGATTAATCTGATGCAAATTTATAGACAGGAAGAAAATATTAAGGGCAGACAGTGGAATAAATTAATGAGGGGAGAGAAATACACAGAAGCCAAGTCAATCGGATCCATGCATTAAGCAAATGTTGCGATTTCTCCTTCTCCCTCTGTCTGCAGTGAAAGCAGCAGATAGTTTGAAACAAGGAAGCAAAGAGAAGGTGTAAGGCTGCATCTATATCTGGCATATGGAATCGTTTTACTGGTGGGGAAGCACTGCCAAAATTCTTCAGAACTAAATGGATTCATGTATAATATCCTTTAACATCGTTGCTAACAGGGCCTGCTATTCATTGCCTTTTTTTTCCCTGAACTGCAAACATCAGACTTAAACAAATAAAGAGGGGGGAGAAAAGGGGAGAGAAAGAATGAAAGGGGAATTACATGTTAATACTTAACATGATGTGGTTTGTAAACTCCAGGTGAAATTAATGTAAAAGAAAAAATGAAGAGAGAGTAGGGTAAGCTGGTATTTCTTCACCACATAAACTGAACGTGGTTGTGAATAAAAATTAGAAATTAAATTTAGAAACTCCCAGGCTGTCTCCTCCCACCAACCTGCTGACACTGGGTCAGTGTGTGTGCAGGGCTGCCGGCAGCACGGGGGTCACTGCGCATCCCCTGTGCGCACCAGGCTGCCCTGCCAGGACCTGCCTGCACACCCCGAGCAGGATCCAAACCAGCATCAGTCAGCAAATACACCCCTTTTTAAAGGTTCAGTGCTGGAAACTCACCTGGTCTCCAGGGTGACCTGGTGGTCCAGGGTAGCCTTTATATCCCTGTTGAAATAGGATGGAAGAGATTAATAATAATAATAATAATAATAACAACAACAACAATAATAAAAATCTGGGTTTGATTTTAATTTTTCTTTGCAGGGGGAAGTAGAGTTCAGAGGAGAAGCAGGTCTCTAGATACAGGATATCTACACACATATCTACATATCACATACACTACAGAATCATGCAAACTTTTAATGTGCTGCTGTGGACCTGCTCCATGCACAGACTTCGAGAGTCGTATCTATGCTCAGATCTGTCTATTTGTAATCTACACCGTTAGCAAAGCTACCCTTAATCTTTAGGAAACCACAGGCCTGTAGAGTAAAATATTGGCTCTGAGCAAGCTTGGGGTCTATACAACGTGAATCACTCACATTTCAGAATGCTCACTTTTGCTTCAGAAATTGAAATGCCATAGGAAACACCAAAATAACCAAGTACTATCATGGGAAACTTCAGTTTTGTTTCTAGCTTGAATCTGTCCAGTTTTCAGCTTTTCTAATCTAATTATTACAAGGTATAATAAGATCCAGAGTCTTTCTTATGAAGCTACCTAAAATGGTGAGGAAGCTGTCTCTTAACCTGCTCTCTGCTGAAATAATTTGAATGAGTTTTGTAATCCAGCTTGCTGGCTGGCAAGTGCTGCGGGCTTCAAATGACTCTTGCAGGTCTTTCATAAACGTGTTTCAGATTTTCAGGGGTTTTTTGAGATGCAGACACTGGAGCGGGACAAAGGTAGCCTGTTCAGCTGCAGACTGATCGGTATGTATTTTAAGAGTTTGCTTTCTCCAGAATTTACCTAGAGCTCTCTTCAAACACTGAGTAAATTCTGCAAGTGACAGGCACTTCTGATTTTTCTCCCCCCTCTCCTTTATTATCTTGCTTCAGCTATTTAAAACAAACTCATTTTCATTAAGTGGAGTCAGAGCAGGTTAGAAGATTAAAGGCAGTTGGAGATGACTGTTTAGCTGGGCTACTAGCAAGACTAAAAAAATAAAGGGCAGAAAATTTAACTTGAAACAAATGGAGAGAGTAAAAAAACAAGAAACAATCCTTGCACAAATACTACAGAAATAACAAAATGCTTTCAGGGTGGGTTACAAGCACTAATTGTAACTCAGTCTCTGCTACTCACCCTGTTTCTGGCCAGGGCTCCTGGCACACATTGCCAGCCTGTGAAACCCACGGGGGAGCATCATCCCCCTCTCTGGAAGCCATAACCAACTCTGGTCTGGCCTAGGACTTGGGCTTTTGCTTCGCTCACCAGATGAACCCGGGTCTGTTTCGTGCTCCCAGGTCCACACCTCTGCTTAACGGCTTTTTTATTCTTCCCATGGGCTATTCTAGACCTGCAGCCTAAGCCTTCGCTGGCGGAGGTATGCGATGCGCTCAGCCATCCTGGCTACTACCCACTCCCCTTTGCATTCCTTCTTGCTCGTTATTTCAGACATTTTGGCCTGGAAAAACATTGATTCCCTTTTCACTGATTCTGTCCTTCTTGACCTTGCTGATGTATCGTGGCCCGCTCTTTTGACTGAGCTGCACCTCCTGAGAAGGTGGTGGCTGACCTGAAAGACCACTTGGCTACTGGCCGGCCCTTGAACCCAAAGGTCCCTTCTCCGAACACTGCTAGAGCATTTCAGCCAGTGGCGCCTAATTGGAAGTGTCTCAGTGGCTCCTGGAGCAGGACCAGAAGATGAGACTCCCTGCCCCTCTCCAGGAATCTGCCCCATGAGATCCTCTCTTGCTTATCCTTTTCCTGGCTCCTTGACAGAGGCTCACCATCAGCAGAGAGGAGAGAGGATGCTCCACCCTGGTTGGGTGTCTGACCCAAAGGTGAAGGCATGTTGTGAAGGTCCAGGTCCACCTGGGTGTGGAAGGCCCAGTATTGGTATAGCCAATATTGGAGCGAGGACCTGGAGGGCGTTGTGCAGACAGAAAGCGTCTGCTCTGCCTGCCCCTCACCTCTTCCAGAGGGAGCTGCCAACAGAAACAACCCTGGGTTCAGCATCTCCAGACGTGCCCTGGGATTTAGCGTGGAGCTCACGGGGTTTCCTTCTGGGCCCTCTGCCCAGCTCCTTCAGCCTCAGCCTGGAGCAGGAAGTCCCTTTGTCTCCAGATAGCTGGAGCACCTATTTCCATGGATACGCACACTGAGAGATGTCTCGTTCCCTCCACTGATAAGAAAGAGTTGCCCAGCTTCGCTGCTCCACATCAGTCTGCTGTGACTGGGTTCCTGCAGGACAGGCATTTTGGGCCTGTGGTGTCCACCCAGAGCAGGTGGTTCAATGACAGCCCCTTGAGATGCTCAAAGCACGTCCTGAGTTAATGTCTGCACCAAGCATTGCATTGCTAGCTCTGTAATGGTAGGTGAATGGCTCTTAAGTTAAATATATAGACACTCTATTACTGTTGCAACCTATTAAATATTCTTCTCATTATATATAATGGACTCTGGGAAGCGTCAAGTGTGTGTTTCTTTATAGTATGCAGCAGTTATTTCTGTCTCATTTTAATTATAGTGAGGAGAAAACAGAAAAGCTTATGTATGCTAAAGTTGGCTGCAGCATGAAAGTATTTACCTGATAAAATCCTCTTCAAATAGCACTAAAATGACAGGGCAGAGGGTATGAAAACAACTGCATTTGCTCTTTTATCCAAACACTTCCTGATGATTACAGGGTGCTCAACACAAAGGGCTGTGATTTAGAAAGGAAATTGCACTCCAGTAAAGGATTTATTCATCTGTGATGATATTTATAATCCACGCTCTCCTAGCTAAAAAGGATCATCCTTCACTTTGATAGGAAATGTGAAGAGTAAAGAGGCCAGCGAATGAGATCTGCATGACAGGACACGCTTTGAAGCGCTGACCAATTCCTAGCTCTGTCTTTACCCCTCAAGTGACTTTAGTGAAGCTTTTTCCTCTCTCACAGCTCTGTCTTGCAGAGTCTTGTACTTTGCTACAACCATTTTGTCCCCCACAGCACTGGAGACTGGGAGCAATGCAAGGTGCTGCTGAGGTGTATCTGCAAGGCAGATGTGGTCTGCAGCCCCCAACCAGGAGCTGAAGTCCACGAACCCTGTGTATGCACCTGAGTGAAGCAGAGAGGACAGCCAAGTCCTGCCACCACTCCCAAGAACTGCTGGGTCAGCAAAAGCAACATTTGCTCCGTGTGGAGAGGATGTGAATTATATCTGCTGCTTGAAAGGTGCTTTCATGTACTCCTAGATGGGTGCAGGCAAAATGGTTTTGGAAGTGCTCTGAGGTCAGACTCTCCAATCCTACAAAGAGCAAAGTCCGCACTCACTGGCAGGCACTGTCCAAACCCGTGTGCTGCCTGGCTGTGGCTCCAGCTCGTGCTGCTGAGCCAGTTGTTTCATTTAGTGGGGAAAGTGTTTTCTTCCCTGCTGGTGAAATATTTTGCTTATTTGAAAGCTTTTTGCATGGCGTTTTCAGATCAAAGCCCTAGGGCCTCTTTTCACAGTCCCTCCATGGAGTGAGCAGAAGAGATGTCCATTTCCAAGGCATTGCTGTTTTCTGGTAGCCAAGATGTGCTGCCCACCTTCAGCCAAACACCAGCATATTTGCACTGGGAGAGTGCCAGCAGGGAATCCAGATAAAAAAAAGATTTTTTTCCAAACATTTCTCCAACAGCTGTAAATTTTTTCTTAATACAGGATGCTAATAAAAGCCAGGTTACACCAAAACCACTGCCAGACTAGTGCTACTGGGAGGTGGGTTTTTTTTAAGCTGCACCAAAGGAAAAATTTCAGCATCCAACTTGCTCATTACTCGAAGAAACAGAAGCATACCCCTGCCTTTGCCCTGTCCTGGGGGAGCTGAGATCAGATGTGAAGGCCATGTGCTGGACTCAGGAATGTTTATTCAATCTCCTGTTCCTTCTCTGCTTTTTTCCACTATGAGTCCTTGCGCTCCTGACACTGCATTTTGCTGATCGTAACCACAAGGTTTTGCTTTATGAGCTGTTATACCAGGAAAATGGTATTCTTTGCACCCTATTTGTTAGAACTTGTTTGTGACAGCAAAAGATCGGTAATTAATCTCTTTATTGCTCCCAGTTCCACACAGCACCCCAAGCATGACCAGCCTTGGGCATAGAAAAATGAATCCAGCCCTTGCTCTTGGCAATTTGATTCCAATGTAGGGCATACAATAAACAACTATGGAGAAGGAGGGTTTCTTTCAGCCTCCTCCACACCTCCTTTCTCTCTTAGTCTTAGAGCATACCTGAGTAGGTGTTTGTGTGCAGCTAATTGGCCTGAGGAACACTGTGTCTTCAAGGGCCCACTGACGGATGAAGTGATTGAAACAAGATGCTAGTTTTAACTGTTCAGCATAGCTATGTCAATACTGGCTTGCTGGGAAGGGGAGTCATGTCTGCATAGCCCAACTATCAAACAGGTCCAGCTTCCAAACAAACCAACCAAACTACCCACACAGCCTGGGACTGGGAGGCCAACTGAGGTGCCCTTGACACATAGAAGACATGAGCTCAGGTACAGATCTCTAAGGTATTGCTGTGCAGACTTGCACGCACACAAGCACACCCGCTGCTGCAACATGAAGGCAAGGATGGATCCTGTGCTCTATCCATACATATCCTTTTCTAGGCATAGGTATGTTGTGGGTGATGTTAATAATGTGGAAACAAATATGGAAGCAAATAAAGTAAAACCTGACTAGTGCTGTCAGTCTCCAAGGAAAATGGGGGGAAAGCATATAGGTATTTAGTTTGAAATGTGCTTTACCAGGAGAGACTGTCAAGGTTTCTTTGCAATGTCTAAACCTATTCTGAATCCAACTTTTCAGTATCGATGCCTGTTGTAGATCCATTGGCTGAACCAGACCCAAATTCAGCTTGCTGATGAAGACCCCATGTCGGGGTGCAGAGGGATGATGCAGTGCTATGGGATGTGGAATGAAAAGAAAGAACAGAAACCTGGATCTAAAATCTCATTTCGTACTCTTACAGTCTTGCTGGCACAACCTTTAGGCAGTTGCTTCAGCCCTGTGCCCCAGCTCATACACCTGTGAAACAGGCATAAGAGTTTCTTGCTGGGTACAAGAACTTCATTAAATTGTTTAGGCAGTTAGAGGGTAACATTTTGAAATAAAAATAGTGCTCTAATTAACTGGAAAAGAACATACTCCTACCTTTCTACCAGGTGGTCCAGGGAACCCAGTCAAACCAGGTAAGCCCACATCTCCCTGTAGGAAGCAAGGAAGTGGCATTAGTTGTCAGCAATGGTTTCCCTACGCCTAGCGTACTGTTACTGAAGTTATTTTGCTGACAGTGGCACCTAACTATTGATATTTCTGTTTCTAATCGTAGCTCTTCAAAAACTGGCTGGATAAGAAGTGTGGATTTAGACATCATCTCTATTAACTAGCTCATATAAATAATAAACCCTGTTAATTAGTGGCAGCTGCTGCTGGAGTACTGCTTTTTGTCAGCAAAATGAATGGGTTGTTTTTTTCAATTATCTCATTCAGTCACATGCTTCATTTGCCTTTCGATAGGCATCTAAATCACAATGACGAGAAATTTTTTGCTTTTAAATGCAACAAGAACAACAGGTACCTCCTGCCAAAGCCTGTGACCGTGCTCATGCTCTGCTACTGCACTGGCTCAGCCCACGGCTCCAGTGCAGACGGCGATGGTGGTGGTGTTATTTAACCTGCCTATGGACAGAACCTTTGCAGGCTGCTGCGGGGAGGGTTTTTCAGTGGCCTGTACTTCTGAAAAGGGATTGCATCACATCCCAGCTGGCACACTCAAATCATCATAGGGATGGAGAAGTGCTTTGCTGTGAGACCTGACATCCAATCCGTTCGTACAAGCCCATTTTGGCCTCCTCTGATTAGGATCAAAACCCTTTCAGAATCTCTAACACGGTGCTGTGCCTGCTTACTGAAAATGCATTTGGAGTATCTAGCTTGAAAATTAGGCATTGCTCCAGACTCCTGCTGGAAACTCCTTGTTTCTATTACTGCTAACAGGAATAAAGCCTTGTTAACATGAGCTAAAAGCGATCTGGATCTCTCTCTTTCTTACACTGAGCATGCCTGCAAGAAAATGCTTCCAGACTCTGCGGGTGGATGATTTCCATGTGATGCCATTCCAATGTAGTGCACCAGAATTTCAAAAGGCATCTCGTGCTGTTAAGTTAAAAGCGTCGTTTCAGACTTAGCCTTCTCAATGTTTTCTAGCATCACCCTTCATCTTGCATTTGTGTGGCTGGCTGTGCTTCATGGAGGCATCTGGTTTCAAACGAAGGGCCTTAGTTCTTTATGGCTGATGCTTTCTATTAGCTGTGCATTTATAGCAAGGCTCATGATGAAAGGAAGAGAACCAGGCTGCTTGCCCTGGACATGAGTTATGAAGTATTGTGCAAGCACCACTGAAAAACTACTTGAGGTAGATGTTGTGGAGCCCTGATCACACTTCTATTCATCTCTAGACTTCCATGAGGCCTTGTTGCCTCAGTAAAAATCACTCAGCTGTGAAACAGCAAAAATGGGAGTTGTAATTTATTGAAAAGCATTAGCAGAACTCTGATCCTTAACAGTTGCTAAATCCAGAAACCAGCTACACTCCCCAGTTGTGTGCTGTGTGTTGATTTGAGCACACCTTGGTGGCAAGGCCCCTGGTTATCACGCAGTGGGGTCCACACATCAGCAGCGCAATGGCCTGAGAAGCCTCCCTTTCTCAGCCAGCGGGACAGCAAGGCTGCCCTCCCAGCAGCCACCTGCTGTGAGCTGCGTGTGTGATGGGAGGCAAACCACTGCTTCTCAGCTCCTCCGCAAGAGCCTCCTTTCCTTTGTCTTCAAGGTTTTCATTGCTTACGCTGGGATTGCCTCTTTCTACAGCTGCATGCCCAGAGCCGTCAAGGTGTGCCTGTATCTTACACATGCGAGTTTAAATACCTGGCTTAAGCAGCCATGTGCTTGCAGCAGCAGGGACTTCAGTTGGGGCTGCAGATTGTGCATGAAGTGGATAAACACTTGGACAACAAAAAGCAGTGGCAGCAGGCACTTCAGTGCACCGTGGGCAATACTTCAGCTAACTCTCTTTAGTCCTCAATCTGAGGTCTAAGTCTTAATTTTCAGTCTTAAGTCTACTTGAGTAGCTGTGATGTTTGTGGCTGCAGCATGGACGCTCTCCATGAGTATGCACAGGACTTAAAGTGCACCGTGGTCCTGCTGTCTGGGTAACATCTTACCTTCTGGCCATTGCGAGCTTTTCCAGGCGACAGCCCAGGATCACCTTTCTGCCCCTGAAATGGAAAACTTAAATTAACAACATAATCTAAGGACTCAGCCCATAGATGTGCTTCTGCTTCCACCAAGCCTCTAAATTAGAAAAACATTTTGTTTTATCTCTGACATCCCAAATGTGTTCAAGTTCCCGGGTATAGCTGTTTTGCTGGGGCTGGTTTTGGTGAGTGAGTGCTGCTGCTAAAGTGTTGAGTTTTAAACACGATTTGACAGTATTAAATTGACTAAAGAAAGGATAACTGGAAGAACGCAATGTCAGGACTTCTGATATTTATTAGACCAGACAGCAGTGATTTCTTCCTTGTCTACAACTACCATCACAAAAATAATTACCAAGCCTATTACTGTGGCTAAACCATCCTGCTTATCAACTTGCTAGATGATGTTGCTTTTTTAACTGTGGAGAATGGATGAAACTGCAGAGAAAGTTACACTAATTACACACCACCAACAGCCAGAGCAATGGGGAGGCTTTCAGGCTGGCAAAAGAAAGTGACACCCTTTATCTTAAGAGGCAGCATTCCATATTTTCCTTTTTAACAACTGTGATAAAAGAAATTACCGTTTAAGACTGTGATCTTATATGAACACAGGCTGGAATTTCAGCAGCATTTGAACATCTAATTCCAGTACTTTCTTTTGAAAAATCTCAGTTCAAAATCTTAAAAGGTGGGAAGGTGATGTGTGCACCTAACAGGGTGAGAGATAGAATTAGGAGAAATTAGAAGACATCTGAAGCCTGCCAGAATCTTCTGGCAGGGCAGAGGTAAGTCTTAGCACACGGAGAAGCTGAGGTCTGCGTAACATCTCATCTGGCACAGGCAGGACACAGCTATCCCCGTGCCAGGCACTGGCCATTGAACACTCCTGGGATCAAGAACAAGGCACAACCTCTGTGTGCCGCATCAGCAGCACGGGGTTCAAAACCAATTGCCAAGCACAGGACAGTTGTGAGGGTTAATTAACGGCTGCCAAGTGCAGTGCTTGGAAGGAAGGTGAAACCCTATATGGGAGTAATGATATTTATTAACTGGCATTTCTCATCAGGGCACAAAGGTGTGCTTATAGCCAGCTGCGCAGCTTTTCCATGCAGCCCCACTGCGATTACATTCGACACAGACTTCCCACCTTGCAGAGAGTGTAAATCTGCCCTTCTCCTGCTCCACCATCCACCGCAAGCTGCAGGGATCAGGCAGTGAGACTGCTTGGCTGCGGACTGTAGGGAGCACTGCTGATTCAAGGCAGATGCATCTGCACAAATTCTGAATGAAGGCTGCCCGCTTTCCCAACAGTAAATGAAGTCATGCAAAAACCCTTGCTTTGCATGCAGCTGTTATCAGGGCAATCCTCCCACTCTTTGAGCTCTGGAGCAGACAGTGGGTGCTACGACTACTTGGAACAGATTAGAGCAGTCCTCAGAATCGCAGGGTGTTCATTTCTACTCTGCAAAATTAATTTACTGCAGCAGGTAGACAAACACCGCCCTCTAAATCTTGCCATGTGTTCAATGCAATGGCCCTGAACGACGTAAAGGAATACAAGCTTCTTGCATTTCTCCCCAGGAAGCTCCAGATCACTTTAGCAAAGACTGTGCCTCACATCATGGTTCTGTGTTCAGCACTGCTGAGACCATCACACATGTGGGGAACTCGGCCATAAGTAGGATCACACTTCCCTAAGGTTCGTTAGCAAGATGGCATCAGGGCCAGGGATGGCCAGAGCAGATGCCTGGATGCTAAGGACTGAAATTGTGGATTAATTGCCCAACTGTTATCACACAGCAACCCCTACATGGTAATTACCCTAAGCCTTGTCCATCATTAAGCCATGCCACCTTGTCCACAAGCTTCTCTCTTTCCCATCCCAAGTGACAGAGCACATTACTTCCTTGTGTAAAGGAAGACAGGGGT